GTTCAGATTATGTGGCGGGGAGAGATGGAAATGAACGGTCTCACGCTTAACAACGCTGTATTCGTATTTGTTCACCGTCCCTACAATGCTCTTTGAATATAAAAAACGGCTATTATTGTTAGCTTCCTGAAAGAAGTTTCAATTGTTGTTAAGAAATTTTTGGTTACACTCTGTAGATTATGATGATGTGTTGGATCTAGTTTTCAATAACAAAATCAAACACATGATGACAATATCCTGGGTGCAGTACAACAATACACAAAAATGAGGTGCTATTCGGTGTGGCGTACACATAGCAATCACATGGCAGATCTACAGTACTGGGTCTCATAAATTAAAGAGAACTGAATTTGAACCCAAGCCATAGGCTACCCCCCCCCCCCCTCTATTGTAATTGCCCTTCTTTTCAGTCCCTCATTTCCTTTTTGCCACGGAATATGTACAGTTATTGTGCTTGCGCAGGCGCAGGCGCAGAGGAGGGGGGGGGGGGGATGGGGGGGGGGGGTAACCCCCTCAAATTTTTTTTCTTTCTTTTTGCTCAAGGGGGGAGGTGTGCTGAGTAGAAGAAAAAAAACTGAATGCTCCTTAATCCTCCCCCCCCCCTCTCCTCACTGAGCGAAATATTTGTCGACGCAATTTTCCCATTCCCGGGAGGCAAAAACAAAATTTAAAAAATGCATTAATGCAATAATGGATTATTTGGCGGGGAGAAATGGAAGTGAACGGTCTCACGCTTAACGACGCTGTATTCGTAGTTGTTCATCGTCCTTACAATGCTCTTTAAATAAAAAAAACGGCTATTATTGTTAGCTTCCTGAAAGAAGTTTCAATTGTTGTTAAGAAATTTTTGGTTACACTCTGTAGATTATGATGATGTGTTGGATCTAGTTTTCAAAAACGAGATCAAACACATGATGAAAATATCCTCGGTGCAGTACAACAATACACAAAAATGAGGTGCTATTCGGTGTTGCGTACACATGGCAATCACATGGTAGATCTACAGTAATGGGTCTAATAAATTAAAGAGAACTGAATTAGAACCCGGGCCATAGGCTACCCCCCCCCCCTCTGTTGCCCTTCCTTTCCGTCGCTTATTTCCTTTTTGACACGGAGTATGTACAGTTATTGTGCTTGCGCAGGCGAGTACGCAGAGGAGGGGGGGGGGTAGCCTTTCAAGTTAATCCGAATAAAAAGAGGAAAAACTTACAAATAGAACAGTAAGAATTTGTAAAATAGGACATAGATAAAGAAGTTATGGAATTGTTAAGGTTCTGCAAAAATTTCATAAATGATCGATATGTGTCGCACGGGTTGCATGTAGACTAGTGAGTTGATGTCATCGCCTCACAACTTCACTTTTGCTCTATTATTTAGGCTAGAACGAATTTGTAAGGAGACTGGAGTTTTGAGAATTTTAAGAATGAACAAAATCACCAAAAAAATATAATGTGTATAGGTTTTTAACATTAGCCACCATGGATATATTTTTCAGAAATAACGGTTCTTTATGAATCAGAAAGCGTTCTGGTATAATAATTATATGAAGTACAGTGTGTATTTATAACATGTCATATTTCCATTTTTTTTCCTTCAAAATCTCAATTATTTACATACGTTGATATTTGTAATATCTGTATAGCCAATATTCTTACTTGATGTAGCATAGTGCCAGGCGCGGATCCAGGATTTCTTAGGGGAGGGGGCCCAACTTTTTTTTTTTTTTGCTCCCGAAAATTTGAAAATCGCGCCGGCCGAAAACTCGTTCAGTGGGGGGGGGGGGGGGGGGGGGGGTACAGAGCACATTTTTTTTATTTTTTTTTTTTATTTATTTTTTTTTTTTGCTCCCGAAAATTTGAAAAACGCGCCGGCCGAAAACTCGTTCAGTGGGGGGGGGGGGGGGGGGGGGTACAGAGCACAATTTTTTTTATTTTTTTTTTTATTTATTTTTTTTTTTGCTCCCGAAAATTTGAAAAACGCGCCGGCCAAAAATTCGCTCAATGGGGGGGGGGGGGGGGGGGGGGGGGGGGGGGGGGGGGGGGGGGGGGGGGGGGTAGTGAGCACATTTTTTTTTTGATCCTCAAAAAAATTTCAATTTGCACCCCCCCCCCCTTGAGCGCCAGGGGGGGGGGGCCCAACCCCCAAAAAGGTAAAAATCACGTGATTTTACATGATTTTTTTCTCAAGGGGGGGGGGGGCCCCGGGCCCCCCCCCCTGGATCCGCCACTGCATAGTGCAGCTCAGTTTTTCTTTAGTTCTAACAGTTTTTACATATATAATATTTATCTTGAACAATATGTCGTTTGTTTCTTGAAATTCAAATTGAGCTTTTGACTGAAAAGGACTTAAGTTTGCAATAATAACGAGCCATTTTGTATGGAATTTATTTGACGAAATCAATAAAGAATGATAATATTCAGACAGTTTGATGCATTCCGTTAATTATCTCTACTTTTAACAAATACCATATTGCTCCAGTTATCTCATTTCGCTCGCTGGAACTCTGCCAGCACAAACATAGCTCGTTCGACGTAACTACCAAACTAGCCAATCGGCTGTCTTTGACGTCATATTGTATGCGGTGGCAAATATATTTTCTGAAATTATTGAAAAATCGACTATTTCTAATCGCAAACTTGCAAACAATTTTCATCGCTTGCTTTGCTCGCTCACAAATTAATTTTCAGACCATCACACCCAACTGCAAAGTATGATCAGGGAGGTGAGACTTGTATGATGCTCAAGCAATATCTTATATGATCAATAAAGAGATACAAATATTGAAATCATCCCTGATAATGTAATCAAAATGTAGGGGTATATACCAATGTCTAAAAATGTGTATATTTTCGCTTTGAGATTTCCCTTTGAAGGTGCCTTTTTTTTCTTCCAGAAAGTGCCCTTTTTTGTTGGTGCCTCCCTACTTTGGAAGTCCTCCGCCGCCTCTAACCTAACCCTATCCCTAATCGTAACCGTAACCCTATTTGATGTTTATATATCATATTATTATTAGATATATCATATCCTTATTTAAGCTGTACCCATATTTGTTTTGAGGGGTGAAAAGTAGGTTGAGCTATCCGCCAAAGCACCCCACCCTGGACAGCTTGACCTCGTCGAGTTGTTCAAGGTATTTGGTCGGGTTGTCGAGGGTCGGGCTGTCCGGGGGTCGAGCTGTTTGGACCTCTGAAGTTCAAGTGTATATTATATGGGCCAGCGTCATAGAGCGACATGGGCGTTGTGGCGTTCGCCTGCAATCCAGCTAACAATGAAAGTTACAAATGGATTCAGCCGAGGACGCAGGTTCAAAACTGAGTCACGTCTTTCAGATGGTGACGTTTAAAGGTCGGTCACCAGACGTAAATAATCAAAATATGATTGATACATGTCTGTAAACTGGCGACCATTAAGGAAGGAGGCTAGCCACCAATAATGTGGGCTATAGTGTCTCCAAATTGTACAATCGAAAAGGAAAAAGAAAATTAAGCACGTCTCGGCAACGGGACATAGATTTGGATATCTTTAAAACTATCGAATGACATTGGAACGAAAAGATAACCTAATTAGTTGTACATACTAAACCTGCTCTTTACTGCGGTATATTTCACATGATAAATGTCTTTTGTGTAGGTCTTACCGTTTCAGATTGGGCTCAAACCGGCACATCGGAGGGCTTATCCGCACAACACATACAACAATGGCGAAAATACGTTTTTACATATGAAGGCTTTTAAAACTATCGTATGACATCACAGCTGCTTAATGTTTTACACCATTTGAAAGCTGAAAGCGTGCTCTTTAGCCTCATAACATAATTATATCAAAATTTTATGTCTGGGTGTTCCTGTTTTGGGTTTAAATTGAGGCTTAAACCGGCATAAAGTGACATTTACCTATGAAATTGACAAAATGCGTATTCATTTTGGAAGGCTTTCCTGCGACCTTTTAACTAAATAATGCCAATATAAAATGATGATTTCAGTTTGTGCTCTTGACTCTCATATATGTCACATACTTAAAAAAGGTCTGTGTCTTTCAGATTAATATTTTATTTTGTTATATCTAGGGACTAGGGTACTGTTAGGTACCCGAGCAAGAGTTCCCTTCTGTCGTTACCAGCCATGGCACGTGGAGCCAGGCTTGCAGAGGAGCAGCAATTGAAAATTTTGCAGAATTTAGCTAAAAACAGCCAAATTATGGCATAATGCCAGATGCTAAAAGGGTCAAAGTTATGCCAGAAAGCATAATTATGCCAGATCTGTATTTTAGCCATTAATGGGTGTATAGTGCCCTAATGTAACTTAGGCCTAATTCTGAAACAATAAGACTTAGAAAAAACAAAATCGGCATTATACAGTAATGGGAGTATTACAATTAACTACATCTACATCTAAGGTGGTACTGGACAGGACCAATTGGTATATACGTCCATTAATCCGATGAGCGTCTTTAGCTCATTAAAATATCATACAATACTTTATAGTGCCATTAAATCTAAAAAGCCGATACTCTGAGTTATATTATTATATTTCATTAAACACTATATGCGTTAAAAAGCTGATATCCAATAAAGCTATGATTTCATTTTCAAATTTGAAAATTTCTTGAAACCAAGGTATGTAGTATTTTGTTTAGTTCAATCTAAAATATTTATGTATCAAATATCAACAGTCAATGCTAAAAATCACGAACATCTATTCGCTTGCTAAACTAAACTACGTATAAGTACGTGTTCCTATTTAATGGGTGTATTATAATTTCAACTTGAAATTGAAATTAGACTTTTTCAACGTTTGAAATGTACCAGCTTATGCGGTATTCTCTCTGCTATAATATTCCATGTTTTATTTTCGCATTGGATACTCTATATAGTAAAAGCATTGATTCAATTTTTCTTCTCTTCATCACCCATTTTACACACCCATTTTCCATTTTCTTTCTAGAAGATACCATAACGTGAATTCTAATGTTTTCCGGGCTACCAATCGACAGTACTACACCGATTGAAACATGACACGTTGCACATTGTTTGTTTCGATACGTCTATAGGGCTATAGGTCTAATTGACATTTATAATTAGACTTTGTACCTTAACGATAGGACTTAGTTTATACATGTATCAGCAATATTAACAGCACTAGATCTAGCCGGAGCCAGTAGTTATCGGCGTTGATCTCCGAATTAGCTTAATGATAAAGGTGAGTTCTGGTAATGCGATTGCATTGTGAAAGAAAAGGTGTGGAATGGATCAGAAACAGTTGATCATGATGTAGCATGTAAGTATTGGTGTGCACTGCAAGGTTCTGGCACACATAGGATCATCACTATCCTGGCTGTGTAGTAAAAGCTGTGCTTTTGATTCTCAACATTTGAAACACCGCTGTCCTAAACTCAACTAATTTCACTCAAAATCGATAGTCTTAAGTGACAATTGATGACACCTACATAGCAGTAAAATACATTTTTTCAACTTACTAATGTTAAAAAGAATAATTTAAAAATTCAAATTGTAAGTCTACTGTCAAACTTTGCTTACAGCCGCATCCACATGATTGTGTGCATTCGCGTGTTGTGAGTGTATTGACTATTCATGTATTCAAATGCTGCCTATTAACGCATAGTGCAGTGCTAAAGGTCAATACGCATTAGCATTGACTCTCTATGCTTTGCTGGAGTGGGTTCTAGAGTCATCAAAATCATAATAAATGGTAAAGTAACAAGCACTGTACACAGAAAGCTATATATGGGACAACACACATGGTGTCGGGGCTAGTACTACCTTGATTTCCTTGTCTTTCTATGCTCATTACTCGGCCAGTATTTTCTTCCAAAATTGTTTGGCACATGTCATTTATTTGTAATATTGAACATTCAGTGTAAGTTTCGTTTGATTCTGTGAGAATTAATTTTCTTTTTTTTCACCAGAACTGGAGTTTATCTTTAAGGAAAGGATGAAGACATGGCACAAGAAGAAAAAAATAGAGACCTCGACCTTCCGGTAGAAAAGTTAGATAGGGCCAGGGAGGATTGTGAGGGTAAGGAGGATTCATCTGATGAGAGCTATTATGAATCAGTTCCTGAGATTGCTGAAGGAGAGGACATTGGATTACCGATCTATGATTGCCCACCTTCCCAAGACACAAACCATATGTTTCAGTGGCATTATCCACGAGAGTTCATACCAGATGGTTGTGTTGATTATGATGATCATAACGCCGGGAGCGGAAAGTGGATGTTGTTCTACCCAGTGTCGGAGATTGATGAAAAATGGGAAATGGCAAATGATTTGTTTGATACCGGTGAGCTGAGGGGTGTGAGGGGAATGAAAGTCTCAACAGCTAAGGTCAATCCAAGAAGTTCTGATAATACCAAGGCAGTGCTTATCATGTATTGTGGACCGTGGACTGATGAACTGCTCATGAGAAAAATTGGGAGAAATCTGGCTCTAAAAACAAAATATGAGAGTAAGACTGGGTGTATGTTGTACAAAACAGACGACCAAACCAGAGGGGGGACAAGGGCAACAGGTCAAGCTGTAAACCATGTTTACCAAATGCAGTTGCCGAGGCCTATCGAAGGAACTGCTAGCTCAGCAATGCCGGAACTTCTTCCGTCCAAAGACTCAAGTGACTTTTGGCAGTGGCACTTTCCCGCGTGTTCACCGTCTGGTTGCGCTGAAGAATATGACTACTCAAAGAGTGGGCGATGGATGATGTTCTATTCATTGGCAGAGATCGATGAGAAATGGCAGATGATGAAAGGCTTGTTTGATTCCAATGAACTGGATGGAGTTCGAGGATTAAAAGTCTCTACAGCCTCCTCCCTGCCGGTTAGCCGAAGGGGAAACAGGTCTTCAGTTATTATGGTATACTGTGGGCCATGGGATGACGAGGATCTTGTGTTGAGAGTAGGGGCGAATCTAGTTCAGAAGACCTCGTATACAAACGAATCTGGCACTCTTCGCTACAAGACAGATATAGTTGGAAATGGAATGACAAGTTCGGGACAGTTTATTCCTAGATACAAACAGGTGTTACCGGTTTCCAGGCCAAGTATGGGGGCCAACTACAGCCAATCAGGCGTAGCAGAACTTCCACCATCTAAAGACATGAGAAGCTATTGGCAGTGGCATCCGAAATCCCAAGATGGCAGGTTTACAAACTATGACTCATCATTGAGGGGGAAATGGATGCTGTTTTATCCTCCGTCAGATATCGATGGCATGTGGCAGCTGATGAAGGATCTGTTCGACGCTGGGGAACTGCAAGGAGTCAGTGATGCAATGGTCTCTACAGCAAAGAGCATTGCTGGACATCCTGACAAAAACAGCGGAGTGATCATGGTGTATTGTGGACCATGCGATGACGCAGAGCTCATGTTGAAAATCGGGGAAAACATTGCGTTGAAAACAAAATATAAAGACAAATCTGGTATCATGCGTTACAGGGTAGATGCTCCCAGAGAAGGGAGAAGAGCAACAGGTAAGAGTAGCTCAAGCTACTTGGTACAAGTACCAAAGCCTCAGGCAATGTTGGCAAGCGCCTGGGACACAGCAGAATGCCCGCCTTCCAGAGACACGGCAGAAAGATCGCCTTCCAGAGATACATCAGAATGCACGCCTTCAAGAGAAAATAGCAAGTTTTGGCAGTGGCATCGTAAACCACTCGATGGAATTGAATATGACCCCTCAACGAGCGGGAAGTGGATGCTCTTGTATCCAGCGTCAGAAATTGATGATCGGTGGCATCTGGTGAAGAGTCTGTTCGACGCTGGTGAACTGCACGGAGTTCGAGAATTACAGGTGTATACAGCAAAGGACAATGCTGGACATCATGACAGCGGAGTCATCAACGTCTACTGTGGACCGTACGACGACGAAGAGCTCATGATGAGAATAGGAAAGAATCTTGCGAAGAAGATGCAGTATAAAAACAGAAATGATTTCATGTTGTACAAGACAGAGGGACAACAGGGTAGAGCGATGGGCCAGGGACGGAACCATCTTTACGAAATAAGTTTGCCATGGAGGTACTAATAACATGAAATACATTTGAAAATAGTTCAAATGCCGATCAAAACTCCGTTCAAACCCTCAAAGTGTTAAAGTATTGAAGGAAAGTGGTGGTGGTGTTTCATTTTTTACTCTTTGATCATTGCCTCTTAAGTATATGAATGTTTATTAGAGTTGTCCTTTAAGGCCATTTACAAAAATATATATGTTTAGCGTCCCGCCCGCTTCCTTTTTGGGGCCCGCCTCCCTTTTGTTTTCTTTTGTTTTTGTTAACATTTTTTAGCTTTATTTTTTTAAGAAGAAAAACATGTTAAAATGGATCTATTTTTGATTTAAATTTGAGCGGCCATTTTGAGCGGCCATTTTGAAAAGAAAGAAGAAAAAAAAGGACCTCCTCCTTATTTTTCAAAAAGGCAGAACGCTAAACATGTTTTTTTTAAATATTTGGCTTAATGTCATTTTTTTTTAAAATGTTATAAATGGTTTTTGAGATGTACGCATATAGGAATGAGAAGGGTCTTTGAACTTTCCTTTATATTTCTCTGAATGCTTATAGAATGGTGCTCTTTAATGAAAAGGAAATAAAAACGTTGCTTAAGTATACCTACGGTAATTAGATTCCACTCCATCGGCATACATGTAAATCGATTGTGATATTAAAGTTGCCTTGATGAGATGTCCCTTTAGCTTATAACAAGTCTCATTCCGTTCAAGACCCCTGTAAATGAGAGGTTACTACCGTTAAAGCCCCACTGTCCTATTTGTAGCTACTTGCTCCCTCTATATAGAAAACTTCCCCAATCGGTGCCTGTTGGTCCCCCATGATCCTCTTTTCTCATGTGAGTTGAGAGCTGAGTTAATGAGATAGCCACCTGTCAGTGACCTCGCTGTGTGGTCTAATCCCTTCTGGCCCAGTAGTATTGACGGTCTTTAAGCATGTTTAGAGAGTTTTCTTTCCACATGAACTCATCATTTCCTTTAAAGTGCTGTTTAACATTTTGAGGATAAACGAGAAAAAACAGTTTGTAATGTTTATTGGTTATTCACATTAGCCAGTATGAATACATGTTTCAGAAATAAACGTATATTTTTTAATCAGAATGCGTTATATGTATTAATGGTGTTAGAATTCAATGAAGTATATACAAGGTGTATTATTAACATGTCATATTTCCATTTTTTTTCTAAAATTAAATCTCATTTATTTACATGTGTTGATATTTGTACTACCGGTATATCCGATATTCTTACTCCATTTAGCACAGTGCAGCTTCAGTTCTAATAATGTTTACATAATCTTGAACAATATGTCGTTTGTTTCTTGAAATTGAAATTGAAATTCAGCTATTGGATGAAAAACGTATATCTTTGCATTGATAACGAGCCATTTTGAATGGAATTTATTATGACAAAATAAATAAATATAGACATCATTCAAACAATTTGATGCATTCTTAGTTCACTTTATGTTTAACAAATACAATGAAAGCAGTAATTATCGTGTTATCTATACAAATTGCCATTGACATAGTTATCTTATTTTCAAGTTTACAAAAACAAAAAAGAAATTCCCCAGGCTCAGATAAATCAAATCCAACAATCTATCTTCACTGGTGGCACACATTATTAAAGAAATCAATGATTAAATATTCAACTCCAATTAAATTTGAATGTGCTATTAATTGATATTAATAAGAGGATAGCGTTGGTTTCAAAATAGACTTTTTACCAAGATGGGGAAAACCAGTACAATGTACACATACTTGTACAATATGAATTTTCACACAGGTTGCAGGAAATGCTGGGAAATCCGTCATATGTACAAAAGCTTCTATCAACAGAGTTTTTGGCTAAGGTCCAGAGTTAGGTTGGTTCTTTGAGGGGCTGGTCTTTATTATAAAAGAAGTATAGCTTATAACCGGCGAACCTTGTATAGTGGAACTTCATTATTTCGAGCACATTTAGGACCATTGAAATAACCTTGTTATATCGGTATATTTATTTTTTATCAGGGAAAAAAACACACAATGATATATACAAAATTGAGAGCGGCAATAATACTACTATGTTGTAACAGGTTCCTCGTTTTAACCACGAATCTAGATCCGTATTTGTACAGAGCCCGCTTTAACGGGGTTCCACTCTAGTAGACCGCCCTATACCCCTTTTATATACCCGTTTTAACCACGGATCTAGATCCATATTTTTTGCAGAGCTCGCTTTAACGAGGTTCCACTGTAGTAGACATCCCTCTACGCCTACCCCCCCCCCCCCCTTTCTGGGAAGAACACACTCATTCACGCTCATTCATAGTGTGAATCACAGTGTGCGCCAGGCGCGGATCCAGGGGGGGGGCCGAGCGGGCCTTGCCCCCCCCCCCCCCCCCCCCCCCCATCCCCTCCGCAAAAAAAAAGGGAGAGAGAGAGAAGGAAAAGAAGGGAAAGGGAAAGAGGAGAGAAAGGGAAAAAAGGAAGGGGGAGAAGAAAAAAAGAGGGAAGAAGGAGATCGTGGGGGGAGGGGGATGGGGGGGGCGAAAGGACTTGCCTCCCAGGCTGTTGCCTCTCCCCCCCCCCCCCCATCAAAAAATAAAAGAGAAGGAAGGAAAGGGAAAGAAAGAAGGAAAAGAGGAGAAAAAGGGAAGGAAAAAAGAGGAAGAAGAACAGAAAAGAAGGGGATATCAGATGCAATTTTCCCGCCAACAAGTTGTGGATCGGGGGGGGGGGGCAAAAGGCCCTTGCCTCCCCCCCCCCCCCCCCCCCGCCCCCCGTCCCCGCTTAAAAAATAAAAGAGAGAAAGAAAGAAAAGGAAAAGAGGAGAGCTAAAAGGGAACAAAAAAAGAGGAAGAAGAAAAGAAAAGAGAGAAAAGAAGGGGAGATCAGTTGCGGTTAATCCCGCCAACAAAGTGTGGAGCGGGGTGGGGGCCAAAATGACCTTGCCCCCCCCCCCCCAGCAAACCTAAAAGAGAGAGAAGGAAGGGAAGGAAAAGGGAAAGAGGAGAGAAAGGGAAAGAAAAAAAGAGAATAAAGAAAGGTAAGGGATATCAGTTGCAATTTTCCCGCCAACAAGGTGTAGATCGGGGAGCACTGGCATATTGATAGGGGGAAGGGGGGGGGGGGGGGTTTGGGGAAATAAAATTCAAACGTGGTTTATTTCTAATTTCATAACGGTGGTTTACAAATCATGCTGAAATTACATAATTTTCCGAGATTTGTCCTCACTTTTAAGTAAATCATACTTTTTTAAGGGGTTTGTTGGAAAATGACAAATTCCTAAATTTACAGCCAGGCAAGAAAATACTTCTTGAAATGCCTACATGTCAGGGCCCGTGGAACGGCGGGGATCGGGATCCTCGAGCCCCCCCCCCCCCCACCCCCCCTCCACTTTTTTTGAAAAAGTATATTAAAGAGGAATGGAAAGAAAGAGAGCAAGAAAGAAAAGATAGATAACTGCCAGTGTAACATTATAATGAGGTATCAAAATATGCTCATCTGACCATGAGTAAATGCCTAAAACCCCGAGTGCTCTGTCCCCTGGATTCCACCTAGGGCCCTAAGGCGGGCCCTTAGATGCTCATCTGACGGTAAATTAATGCCTAAAACCCCTGATTTCTGGGGGCTCCGCCCCCTGAACCCCACGCAAATTAGTGACCTGCCAGTGTCACAATTAGGTATCAAAATAATGCTCAACTGACCGTAATTAAATGCCTAAAACCGCTGAACTTCCGGGGCTCTGCCCCCTGGACCCCGCCTAGGGCCCTAAGGCGGACCCCTGAATGTTAATCTGACCGTAAATTATTACCTTAAACCCTGGGCTTCCGGTAGCGGACAAGGTATCAACATGTTCATCTGACCACAGGCGCGTAGCCAGGGGGGGGGGGGGGGCGGTGGGGTGGTCCCCCCAAAAAACACCGGCCAAAAAAAGAGAGGAGTGAAAAGGAAGAGGACGTAGGAAAAAAAGGGAGTAGAGCATTTTAGAAATTCAGACAAGAATCAAGAGTCGAGAACGGTACAACGAATCGTCTTCTTTCTCTAATAATTTAATAAACGTCAAAGCTTCCGCGCTTCGCGCAGGAGGGGGGTTGAACTGAATTCAGACAAGGATTAAGAGTTGAGAATGGTACAACGTATCATCTTCTTTCTATAATAATGTCATGAAACGTCGAAGCCTCCGCGCTTCGCGCGGGAGGGGGGGGGGCTGAATTTAGACGAGGATAACGAGTCAAAACGGTACAACGAATCGTCTTCTTTCTCTAATAATTTAATGAAACGTCGAAGCTTCCGCGGGGGGAGGGGGGACTGAATTTAGACGAGGATTAAAAGTCATAACGGTACATCGAATCGTCTTCTTTCGCTAATGATTTAATGAAACGTTAAAAGCTTCCGCGCTTCGCGCGGGAGGGGAAAAGTAAATTCGAAAGAGGATTATTTTCTAGAGCGGTACAACGAATCGTCTTCTTTCTCTAATAATTTAATGAAACTTCGAAGCGTCCCGCAGTGGGCCAGGGAGGAACCAAAGTGCGCCAAAACTAAGTTTGGGTGATTTTTTTTTTTCAATTTTTTTCTTGCCCAGTTGAAAGGTAATACATAGAGGAATACCTCAGTGAAATATTTAATTCCGTTATGCACAATAAGGGTATAAATTTACTACTTCAAACAGCAAAATCCTACATATTCACAGTTTTAGTGCAAAAGTGACTTATTTTATAAATCTTTCAATTCAACATGAAGTTTTTAAGTTATTGATATGAAATTGCTCTCACATATTCCTGATAGTTCATTTCGTTGAATGAATGGGTTAAAATTAATAGAAACACAATCTTCATGATATATTATAGGGTAATTCACTGAAAAATGGACTAATTATCCATGTTTTTTATAAATCCAGAAGAAATGTTTAGATCTCCGCAATGTACCGCTTAAATTTTAATACCACCATTTCCTCTGATGTCTAAGCTTTAAGTTGATACCAAATTTGGCTGCCCGATCTTGCCCGTTGTTATGTTAGAGCCGATTTCCCTTGCCACATTGCCCCGAAAAATGTGGGTTTTGGGGGTCCGCGGCTGAATCATGATGGATTCGTGGTCATAAATCACGGCGCGAGGGGGCGCGTGACACTTATTCTGACACCGCGGACCGAAATAAACACATTTTCGGGGCAATGTTGCAAGGAAAACGGCTCTAACATAATAACGGGCAGAATCGGGCAGCCAAATCTGGTATCAACTTAAAGCTTAGACATCAGAGAAAATGTTGGTAATAAAA